TTGTAGCCTGATGTCAGAACCTCATTCTAATGGCGGCCGCCCGAGGCATTTGCCCCGTTGATCGTTTGTGCATTCAGTGGGACCGAGATGCACAGCGACGCCAATCTGGCGGCCCAGCACCTACGGTTATTGTTCCTAAGCGTTACCCTAATTCGACAGATCCGGTTCTGTGACCTTGCCCAGCGATATGTCACTGCAGCAGTTGATATCAAGAGCTAGAGGCAGATCAGTTGACCGTTGAGAGTAGAGTGTCTATCCAATACGTTTATCTCGTGTTTTCCTAGTAGACATTGATTCGGTGTCCATGTATCCAGTAATCGTAAATGACCAAAAAATGCGAACAACACACAATCACTCCACACTGACACATTTGACTATCCTCCCAATACCTGCCACTGTGTAAAATGCTCGGAACAAGGCGTTCAAAATAGATTCAGCCCTCAATAAAGCATCCATAACAGTTGAGAATTCGATAAAGCAGTCGCCTCGACCATACCATATCAAATCATTGGGCTTTTCAGCCTTCTTTCCTAAGTTTATCGATAATACAGGGTTGACAGCAACTAGTAAATTTCATGATTCGGCGACAAGTTTCGCTGCTGATCAGGGTACGTCGCAAACATAACTGGTCGGGAGAGACAAAATTGGCAACTGCAATGGTCAATCAGGTCACATTTTAGTGCTGGCTCTTCTCTGAGGAAAGTCGGGGTAACTCACATCATCCACGGCGAGGAGATCCTGGGTGCTAACATGGCAGGCATGGGCAAGAGCTGTGGTCCCATACTTGGAACGACGCCGACCACTTCAGTGCCGTGAGTACCGAAAGACTTCCTCATCCCATACTGCGAGTCGTAAGAGGACGTCAAGCGCGGTACCTGAAGCGCTCCCGATTCAGCCGTGGAGTATGCTGTTGGAAACTTGCAGCCATTGTAGATTGGTGGACTATAATAGTAGTTTTCACCAGGGTAGTGTCCTGGTGCCAGGCTGTGACCCGTTTGCCCGTCCGGGTTGTCATACGTGTGGGGTGGGCCGGAAGAGGATGCGCCCGTTCTGGCTGTACCCTTGCCGTTTGGGAATGGGGGCGAGCATGGCCGGGAGTCTGCCGCTCGATCACCACGGGATGCCTTGTAGCTCTTGCTAGGAGGGCGGCTGCTATCTGGGCGGGGAGTGATCGCTCTCGCCCGTTCTGTAAAATTGAACTCTTCATTTTTCATGGTCTTGGGTGGCTTTGAAGGCTTGTTAAAGTGCCTCAGAGCAACCCCCTCATTTCCCTGTCTCTGTCTCCGGAGTCGTATAGCTATGACAAGCATGCTAAGTCAGCTCATATGCCTTGGAATATTTTTGGAGCTGTCATACCACGCTGCTTCCGCCCGAGCTTCTTCGGTGGTTTTTCGGTTGACGTGCTTTCGCGATAAAAGGTCTGCGTTTGATTCTGGAAGATATCGGGCCTTACCATAGATTCACGGGTGAGTCGCGGTTGAGCTTCGGAGACATATGACTCCACGTCGGAAGGATCGGTGGATGAACGCATTTCGATCAAGAATGTAAGACTAATGAGTAAGTCTGAGACGCTATCGCTTTACGGCTGGATCACGAATCTAGAAGCAGATTATCCCACTCCAGACTTGAGACAGACAAGAGGCAGGCGTACGGAGTGGTCTGGTATTTATGCTCAGGATTCGGACACGGTTGAAGCGGTAGCCGAACTGATGATGTAAGCCATGTTTGCTCAAGCATGGACAATCACACTATTGAATTATTGGACTTGAAATTCGGGCTTGGAAATGGTAAGGGAGAACGAAAGAGCACACGAATGGAACCGAACTCCGGATAGGCGTAGGCATCCACAGTAATTGAGCCACCAAGTCTACTCCGCCACGCTACGCCGAACCGAAACAAATCACTGCGAATCACCAGAGAATTATTTGGGATAGCGGACTATTCAACAGATAAGCCGATCATGCTTGTAAGTGCCACGGGGCATTTAGAGCGTAATTTTCATCCTATTATCCTTAGTTCTATTCGTTGCCATGAGCTGCCATGGACTAAACAGCAAAGGTGGTCTGTGAAGATTTGACCATTGTGCACTCAGAATTCAATAAGCGAAAATACAAAAATGCTCGAAATGTTCGAGCCGATCACATTATAGGACATGGATTAATCCCGACCATCGGATTTTGAATGCCGTCCATGTTAGATGCTTCTTTTTTATCATTTGGAAAGGGTTGTTCCACTGATGCTGAAACTTGTCCATCCTGAGACGGTATCGCCCAAGGGTGAGGACTAGGTTCGGAATGAACGTACACTTGCTCCGAAGAGTTAGTTGGTTTGGATTTCCACTCTTCACGGCAACGTTCGAGCTCAGGCGAATCGGGATACGTGTACTGTCGATAAGACATTGGAAAAGGCGGTGCTGCAGCGACCGCCAACCCACTCGGATCTGGCTCAGAGAACGGAGAATCCCGACTTCTCCGGAAATGACCTGACTGTGACTCGCTGCATCGGTTTCTGATACCAATTGCACCGGAATCGGACGACTGAAGGAGCCCCGGCCCATCCAATTCTGCGTCAGACATTAGAACGACGGATACAGGGGTCTTATCAGACATTATCCGGTCTTGGGCAACTTGTTCCTCAAGATGCTTCAAGCGTTGTTTTATCTTTAGACCTATGGCTTAATTAGATCAATAGGCTCTTCCTGAGTTCTTTGCCGGCATAACGTACGATGTGTTCGCTGAGCAATGCGGTTCTGAATGCGTCGCCGTGCCGCGAGATCGGAAATCTGAGTCCAATCCTCGGTAGTACAAGCATGCGAGTTAGGGCGTACGCTGATACAATCGCACCCTGAAGTGTTGAATTTGGGCCCTTCAGAAGGAATGGAATCTGAGGCTTGATACATGTCCGAGACAAAAATAAGGAATATCGATGCTAAGATTCAAGGGTGATGTGAAAGCCTGAGGTGTAACGGAAGAGGGAATCAGGAAGTCCCGAACCATAAATAGAGCCTGAAAGCCATCACTAGGTACACTTATCATTTTGTACATTACCCTGAAGCTGAACCTCGCGTACTGATTGTCAAGAAAGGCTGGAAGTATGTTCGCCCGCGTGTTTCACATCAGTTGAACAGCTGTTCGGCCTTTGATTGCCCGAACCTATAATAGTCCATGGACTGGGCGAAGCGGCCTCATGAGGCGGATGTGTTCAACTATGAAGATTATGGCTACATGCTCGTAGTGAATGTCATTTTCTAAAGTTACCACGTCGACTGTCCTGGTCTGACTGTCCGTTTAGCATTGCAACACGTGCCAGCGAAAGCCTCGCTTGCCTAGACACCATCCTTAACCACATTCAACAGTTCAACAGAATTTCGCGCTGGAAGTTTGGTATACAAAGCCGGATGGCATAAGTCAATCTCGTCAGCGAATTCGGAATGGACATACTTAGCAAAGAGCATTCGATTCGGATACACGACAATAAATAATATACGGTAAAGCAGGGGGGTCGACCAACCACCCATCTTCGCCGAGGTTACTTCGCAATAAGCCTTTTGTAGATACTCTCTGCTTTATTGTGCTCAGTTTGCTCAATTATAGGTTAGGAGGATTCAAAAGAGCAAGCTGTAAAGGCATCTTGTTTTCGCTATCTACTACGACTAACCAGCATTTTCTAACTCTGAGGACTGCACGTCTTCAGCACGGTCACCGGCCGCGTTCAAATCACTTAAGCAGGCGGCGACCCATGTACAGTCAGTCTTGTCTATCTGCACTGTTCTCAAAGACGTCAATTGCTGTAAGCGTAATAGAAGGGCATGTGGGAGGTTCTGGTGACTACTGAAGCTGACTGTGACACAAACAGCACTCAGCGCTTGTAATACCATTGGCCACGTCGACAAATGCTGCAGATCCGTGGGCTGCATTCGCACACGGACGTGAACACCAGCTGGGAGCTCCACGCTTTCAAGAAGGGCAATTGCGGTGCTCGAATCGTAAATGCGTAAACTTTGAAGGCTCGGCCAATGCGGTTGATATCTCTGCCTCCGAGCCACAAAATCACAGTTCGTGATGATTAACTCTTCGAGGTGGCAGCTGAGGGCTGGGCAAAGCGACTGCCAGTCGATGTCAGTAGAGAAGGTTATCTCCACTCGCCGAAGATCGAATGCGCTACCACTACACACAATGCTTTCCTGTCGAGCGCCTGAAATGGACAGAGAAGTCAGAGATGGGAGTCGATCGAACTGTAACTCTGCGCACGGTCCCAAGCCAGCTTGTGGGCAATCGAGACAATAGCAGCAGAAATCTAAGGACAGCCTTTCCAGGGCCGGAAGCGACGGAACCACGAACAGCCCGGGCTCGTGCTCAATGCAAGAAAGACGCAGGCATCGAAGGTGTACAAAGGTCATCTGGAGCTGCCAAATACTTGGAGACATAAAGTCCACGCTCAATGTGCCTACAGGCTGGAACGACAGTTGCCAAAGCAGTTTTTGGAGGCTAGTCAGCGCCGGCGGGTTGCTGATGCTACATGTGTGTCAGCCAAAGCATTCGGTGGACTGTCACAGACAGTTCATGAAGATCAACAACTTGCCTCACGATCTGAAGACGGTGCAAATCCCCCAAGAAACCCAAAAATATGTCCGGGAGGACTGCTTCGTCACCCCAGATAGACAGGGTCCGCACATGGTCTGACCAACGGCTCAACGTTTGTAGTAGATCACTTCCTGGAGGTCGGAGGAATCGTCCGTTCAGGATAATCGGAGTCGATTCATCAAATCGAATGGTGACTTTGCGAAAAAGCCAGCGCGCGGCGCAAACACGCAGGTGCTGGCAGCAGTCGTAGACACTCCAAAGATCGCGAGTAGTCAACTAAAGGTCCGTCAGCATGAATAAAGCTTGATTCCAATTTAGTGGCTGGGTGTAAAAGTACTTGTTTCGTGATCAGGTCAAGGATCTCGAGAGGAAGTGCGAGCAGTGTTGGTGGAGCGGATGGCGACCCGAGCATAGGGTCATCGTAAAGTGTTAACATTGCTTTAAAAAGTCTCTTTTTGTGAGGGACTAGGCTGCCCTCTCAAATTCCCAGTCCAGAGATTCTGACCTGGGATCAAAGGGCGCAGAAAGGCATATATGGCGACATGAATCGGCGGTGATACACAATGTAATACAAGAACCTGGATTTGACCGGAATCGTCGGAAAAGAAACGCATACTGCGCAGTTCGCCGTTCAACCAGCAGCAGAATGATAGGGGAATCTCAATTTGATGACCTACAGTATTGGTGGTAATTGAACATTGCCAACGATTATTTGAGAGAATGTGCCTCACGTTGTTTCTAGCCCTGATCTCCGGCTCAGCAGATGAATACCAACCTACTTTAAGATTGGATGCAGCACTGCAAATTCATGCCCTAAAACATTCAAGCAAATGCGATTTCAGACACCATGAGTCTGATGATTCCTGCACCAGCGAAGTAGCCATCACGCGCGACGCTCAACCAGCAGGGCATATCTGACAGAGCTTACACCTTCAATGACTACATCAACCCATTATCAGACGTACCACAAACTACTATTGTTAGAAAGGCAACTCGTCGCGATCCCCTTCCACAAGCACACTTAATGGAGCTATTTGAGATATCGGGGTCCCCCTCAGAGCCCATCGGCTATCCAATGGAACAGAACACAAGCCCGGCAAGGACACGTCCTTGTGCCGCTTCGCCCGCTCCCAAGCGTCGAAGAACATGCTATGCCGATGACTTCGCCTCCCAAGCATCATATTTTGACGGAAGATATCGTCCTCCATCGCCTCCCTACCAGGATGCAACTCTTCATCCGGAGCATGCTTTGATATCGCCACTTGACTCGGCTGCGCTTTTGGTGGCGCTGCCCGCGCTCATGCAGAACCGGGAAGCAAGAGATTTAAGCCTACAGCTAGCGGAAAATGTTGTCAGCGATCCTGCAGTTCTCTTTTCAGCGGCAAGCGAGCCCATCAACACAGGTCATTCCCGTACATCTTGGCAGCCAGATTGTCTCAGCCCGCATCGAACTGAGCCGGTCCCTGGGGACTGGCTTTCCCTTCCGCCCCATGGTGGCATCTCCGATCCGGGACCCTTATCAAACGCAGACACCATTTATAATTGCACTCTTCTGGATCCTTTGCTGTTCGCTTGCGACAACGATGACCAAGGTCGGCCTGATCTTTCAAACGACGATGTATATAACGCACCGAATTATGAGGCTGACCGCCCCTTCTTTGTCGAACCAACCATGATTGAAGAGGGCCCCCGGCAAGTACCTATCTTACCGCCAGAAGAGATGTCTCCGCTTTCTTTGGCTGCTGATTCGATGCCGGTGCCGATGCGTAGCTCTGCCACATCCAATGACACTGCCAGGACGGATGTCCTTGCTGAAACAGGGCAAGTACTCCTCCCGCCACTTGGACATCCGAATGCAAGTTATGCTGATAGAAAACTGACAGGCTCAGCGCATCTCACGATACTGAAAGTACGCAAGAGACATTCTCGCTGTTGAATTTCGAAGAGGAAGAAAGTACCAACCCAATGCTCACCGTGTCCTTGATGGAACATCAGGAACAGGGTTTGCGCTGGATGTTACATATGGAACAAAGCCACCGACACGGCGGCATCCTGGCAGATGATATGGGCCTGGGTAAAACAGTCCAGACAATAGCTCTCATCGCTTCGCATCAGTCTTCCAATCAGGATCGATGTGCAACGCTGGTGGTGGCACCGGCAGGCCTCATCTCGCAGTGGAGGCGCGAAATCGAGCGACTGTTGCCCGCTGATCCGCGCGGCGCGCGAGTCCGCGTCCATTCCGGACCTGCGCGACGAACCAAATTCAGCGACTTGTCCCGGTATCAGATTGTGCTGACTACCTACAATACTCTAGTGGCAGAATTACGACGGGGACATCCGGAATCGCCGCTTCTGGGCCGGGCCAGTAAGTGGCATCGAGTCGTCTTGGACGAAGCACAATATATCAAGAACGATCGGACAAAGGCAGCCATGGCCTGCTGCATATTGGATGCTTCGTACCGCTGGTGTCTGAGCGGGACGCCCGTGATGAACAGCCTGCGCGAGTTTTATTCTTTGTTGCGTTTCCTGCGGATCCATCCCTACGCTGATCTCGATGTCTTCAACACCGTGAGTGCTCGTGACCTGGTCGATCGGCTACGAATAGCCCTTCGTCACGGACAGGAGATTTGAAGCAAGCCGATACTGATTGTGAGTTAGACCTTCCAACCAACCAATGACGCCACTGGTAGCCGCGACCGCCTCGTGGTAATGGCACAGCTGCAAGATCTTGTCAGAGAGATCATGCTCCGTCG